GCACGGACTGAGAGTGGGCTGAGTCTCCCCTCTTCACAGTCTTCCCTCAGCCCTTGAGCCTGCCTTGCTTGCCATTGTCCTGTCAGTCCCGGAGAGTACAGTCCTGTGCAATTCATTCTGGCACCCGCGTGCTCGCTAGGATAGCATTGTGTGTGCAGCCCTGAAGGTGCTGCCTTCTAGACTGGAACTCACATGTCTTCCTCCCTGCACTGGAGGCCTCTCTGCCTGGGTTTCTGAAGCGATTACTCATGGCTCGGTGCAGAAGCACTTGTTGATACAAGCTTCCCTCCCTGACATTCCAGTGGCAAATCAACCCTTGCTGGCCCAACCATGTTTGCAGTGGGCTGGCCTGACAGCTGGAGGCGGCAGCTGGTGGTTGAAATCTCCAACTGATATTTTTTCCTTCAGAATAAATAATGTCAGTCACTCTAGCCCTGCGCCATAATAAATTCTAATAGAATTTAGAAGCTTTTTATAGCCTCTGACAGTTGGTCTGAGAAGATCTGCTTTTGAAGAGTCCCTCTGTTTTCCCCAGAAGTCAGCTCTCTCCCATCCTTAGGCATTTTTTTTTTTTTTTTTTTTTTTGTGGAACCAGGGATTGCACTCAGGCCCTTGCGCTTGGCAGGGAAGCGCTTATTCTACTGAGCCATCTCCCCAGCCCAAAATCATACTTCCTCTCCCACCCCCCTTCCAGTACCAGGGATCTAACTCAGAACCTTGCACTTGTCAGATAGGCGCATAAGCTGCTGAGCTATATCCCTGGTCCCTGAGCTATATCCCTGGCCCCAGGCATCTGAAACATAATGAGAGCACTAGAAAATAAGACACAAGGGCTGGTGAGATGGCTCAGTGGTCTAAAGCACCTACTTAGAACAAGCTCAGCAAAGCATAGGGACCACGGTTCAATCCCCCAGCACCACATGCCAGCCAGCCCCGCCCCCTGGTGGACTGAGCTGCCCCTCCACACACATAAATAAATAAATAAAAATTTAAAAAAAAATAAAAAAAAAAAAAAAGAAAAGAAGACACAAAAGCCCCAGAGCTGATGGCTCAGTGTGAATTCAGCATATTTAAATGTTATATATACTTCCTTACCGATTCTCTTTGACTCAACTTCTTGTATATTTAATAAACATGCATGTGTATTTTTAAATTTTGTTTGGGAAGCTGATAGACCTTTATTCAGGACTTGTTAGCTCTGATGGACACACGCTTAGTCGGCAGTACAGCAGCAGCAGATGTGGAAGGCATAGGTAGTGAGGAGGAGGAGGAGGAGAAGGAGAGTGGTAAGCGCAGTGCACAGCTGACAGCCTGAGCCCGAGGGACAGGGCTGAGTCAGAGTCCTCGGTGATCCTGTAGCTTGGCGCCTTCGCTTTTAGGAGTGGAAAAGCTACAGTTCAGAAAAATCACCTGGCTGAGATCCCGAGGCGGGGCGCGGCTGGAATCCAGCCCCTTTGACTTCATGGTCAAGTGTTTTTCAGTCCGCAGCATTCTTCTTCACTTATATCACAGTGGTTGGGCTGCCAGTCAAATGTCATTGAAAAACTAATTATGTGTAAGAGTCCCCATTCAAAAAAATAAGGGAAGTTAAGGGAAGTATCCAATATGCTTTGAAAAATAATTCCATCGCATAGAGTATGTTGGCAGGGACTTGTCTTCTAAAAACTTCTCTGTTGGGACCTTCATTTCTCCCTGCACTGCCTAGTAAATGAGGTGTGCGTATGTTCCTGCCTCGGACTGAGACCGGCGGCGGACCCAGTGATTCTGGGACAACATCAATACAGACATAAATACAGCCTTATATTGGTTGTCTCTACCGTGTGAGGCTTTCACTGAATTGAAGCTGGTCTTGATCCTTAAACTTTTCCTTAAATAGGCTTTCTTACTTAGAGTGATTATAAAGGGAGTATGTACCCAGGATAAAACTGGGAAACAAGATTCCACGAGAAAGGAAAACACTAACTGTTTTACTACTGAAAGAGTTCCCTTGAACACTTTTGTCTATTTCTGGCGTTGCTTGTTGGCGCCCTCCATCTGTTGCTTGCTTTCTGTGTCTGCGTATTTATAGAAACATATGCTGGTGTATACAGACATAAAATCTGAGCATGTTGCCAATAGTTTTATCCCATTTCCGGCTAATAATGAAAATGTTTACATCTAGATGCATGAAGCATTACCTTCTTTTTTGAAAACTGTTGCAGAGGAGCCTGCTGTTTGGCTGTGTCATATGTGGCTAGCTGTCCCCTACTGTTGGGCATTCTGGTTGCCCCCGTCCTTAACATCTCCTTAAAATAAACTCCTGAAAGTACAGAGCTGTGTCAGAAGAGGTAGTCTTCTCTGCCTTTCAAATTGTGTTGCCAAAATTCCTGAGTTATCTTTCCACTCTGACTTTCTGATGTCGGAAAGTTAATTTTGTCCGAGTTCAGAATTCTCCATCTTGTGATCCACCAAAGACATCCAGAGTCTCTGTCGTCCCCCCGCCTCCAGGCTGGCCTTTCCCTTCACTTGTCCTTGCAGCAATGTCTGACTGCTTGGGTATAGCCACAGGGCTCCAGATCTGATCCTGTGGGGCTGAGTGTGGGGTGGGCACCATGGTGAATCAGCTGAGGTGTGTGGGCCCCAGTCTGTGCTAGTTCAGTCCTATTTAGGGTCCAGTTTTGGGAAGTTACCCTGGACACCCCCATTTTCATTCATCTTGATGCCAAGCCACAGTGCTATATGGCTGAATATTTGATAGAAGCTTTGGGCTTATCCTTTAGCCTAGGACCAAGTCCAGTTCCTCCACCTGGTCTGCAATCTGGCTTCTGTCCACCCTTCCTCTCTGTGGTCCTCCCTTCTTTATCTACAGTCTAATTATGCCGACCTTTTGATGTTCTTCAGCAATGCCCCACTCCTTTCCCATCACGGCTTTGAAATGCACTGTGGCTCCCAGTGATGAGGAATGTGACTTCTAGAGTCAGGCTTGGCTTTGTGTCCTTATTCTGCCACTTAGCACTGCACTGTGCTTCTCTGTACCTTAGTTAATAAGTGAGGACAACAGCTCCCATTCCATGGGACTGTTTGGGGACCAAATATGACAATGTATATACAAGTATGCCTAGAAGCTGTCCCTTCTAGGCCTCAGTAAGGGACAGACCTGCCCAGCTAACCTCTGTTTACTCACCACCCACAAGGAAGTTTGCTTTGACCCTGACTCTGGGTCAGAAACTCCTTGTGAATAGTGTCATGGCTGTCTTAGCAGTTATTACCATTGTTGCCAGATAAATAAGCCTCTAAAAAACTATCTGCCTTTTGCCTGAGACTGCAGGCTCCGTGGGGACCTACCTCTCTCTTGTTCATAACATAGAGCAACTATTCAGCAGATGCAGAGGCTCAAGGAGTGAAGAGCCTGGTCTCATTGCTTATGGCTACAAGCAGAATTGCCATCACACCAGAAAGAAAAGTGTGATGTGTCTCGGGGCTTCCAGAAACTGCCTGCCACTGGACATTGTCCAGGATTTTTTTTTTTTTTTTCAACTAGTGAAAGACCTGCACAGTCTTTAAAGTTCTAACTGGTGGGATATTGACACTTTTAAAAATACTGTTAGTAGGCCGGGAGATGGCTCAGTGGAATAAGCACTTCCCTGGCAAGTGCAAGGGCCTGAGTTCAATCCCCGGTTCCGCAAACAAACAGACAAACAAACAAACATAAAAATACCATTAAAAAAAAAAAATACCATTAGATATGGGCTGGTGAGATGGCTCAGTGGTCTAAGGCACCTACTTAGAACAAGCTGAGCTAAGCAAAACACAGAGACCGCGGTTCAAACCCCCAGCACCACATGCCAGCCAGCCCCGCCCCCTGGTGGGCTGAGCTGGCC